CAGAGCCAGGGAACAGTGGGTAAGCAATATTTATGGTTTTAAAGCACCTCTTAGCCGAGAAGCTCAAAGTACTTCTTCAAAGGGGGTAAATACACTTCTAACATTACTTGGGCTTATTGAATTAAATGTAGCTTGTATGTCTTGTCAACAATTTTGAGCTCTTCTTCACAATCATTAGTAATCTCCTATTAAATATTTTCTAATACAAATTACAAAAGCTTTATTTCCCACCTCCAGTGATGAAAACCACCTCCAGGAAGGAGGGGTTGGTTGTTGGTGCACTTTAGGCTGGAGGCACAGAACAACTAAAAAGAGCCTGGAATCAATTATGGCAACTGAAATTCTCCACTCAATTTCAGCAGACAGTTTAACAAAAAATAGAGGTTTTTTATTTTTAGTTTTTGCTGTTATTTCCTGCCCTCCTCTCTCAAGCTACAGAAAATCGTAAGAGTAAATGCAGCTGGATTGGTCTACTGATGAATCCAACCAGACTCAAATACACCACCTTTTTAAAAAGTACTTACAAGGTGTTACAGGAATTTCAAGCGCAGAAGAAAACTACTGAAAAGGTGTTTGCACCTGCATTTGCTAAGAGCCTGGAACACAAACCCCTCAGCCTCTCTCCTTATTGTCAGTCGCTTTATTAAAAATATTAAGACTGTCAATCATGCTTTTCTACTCATCTAACCATATAAATAAGCAGCAATTCCTATTATGAAAAATCTCAATAGCATTTCCTAAATTGTGGAGTATTTCCTCTGCCAGTAGTCAAGTGACAACCTACCCTTGGTGACAACGACTAACGAGGAGTGAGAGATGCACTTGCAATAGCCCGAATGATGCAAGAAAGACAAAGACACGACAAAGAACTGAGCTTTCCAAAGAAAATATGGTATTGCAATCAGCTAATCTGGTCTTTTAGTGCAACGTGAAAAGCCCAGAACTCACAAGAGCACAATCCACCTCCCAGTCCTACTTCAGTGTGAGGCAAACCAGGCCTAGGACACACGGAAATTTGGCACTATATGGCCCAGCTCATGAGGCTTTTGCATTATAACTTCTAGCTAGAAAAGTGATTTGAGGACACAAGTTATAAATCTGAAGCCTACACCCACGTCCAGTTCAAAGGACTGCAGAAGTAATGCTCTGTGTTTGCTATCCTGTGCTGCCCAGCCCTTAGCACAGCTTACAGATGATATACTGGGGGGAGGGGAAGAGAAATTAATCTTGGGCAGAATTACTACGCTCCAATCACAACAGATGCCCATAGGACAAAAAGAGCTGAGATCCAGGCTAGGTGAAAGAAGCTGCGGCCAACCCATGCACAGATGCAAGTACCAGATTACCATTTACAGCAGTAAACAAGACCTCATTTAAGAACCACCACCACTCGTTCAAAAAACAAACCCCTTCATTTCTCCATTGTGTGTAGCTACGGACTGGACTTTAAATTAATGCAGTAAGCAAAAGGGTGAAATTGCCTAAAGCTGCTGTTCTGTTTTTTTTTTTCCTCCTCCCAGCAGGCACAGAGAGCCTCAGACAACACCTCTCTTCCCCAGCGGTCTCCATACCTCGGTCCTTGTGCCACATTCTGCTGCATACATACATTGCTGCCTTTGGCTACAGATATTCTTTGCTAACTTCATGTTCATCCTCTGCCAGCGTACATCTGGATACAGAAATACCATCAAACAAACATCACGTTTGTAAATACAGTCCCCTCACCCAAGAAAATAACTGAAGCCCCATTAGTCTATAGGCTCAGACAGCTGAGTGGGGAGGTTTCCCGCCTCAGGCTCTAACGTCTGGACAAAAAGCTATTAATAAATATAAACGCTTTAATGAATCTAAAGGGGAATAAACAAGGCAGATCAGGGTCCAGTGTTCAGCAGAGGAAGACAAGGGCAATTCACCAACCTGCCCCAACTAACATTAATCAGCCGTCTGGGCTCTGCAAAGACGTATTCTTCTGTCTAGACTCCTAATCCGTCAATGGGAAAAGACATCTAATATTATTTCTGTCTTTTCATCGACACCGTAAGAACACGTCTGACTGTCTGAACAAGTCACTCACATAATGTGAAACAAAATCAGACATGACTTTGTTGGATGTGCTCGTGTGGGGCAGCTAGGAAAAGCACAGCCAGACAGCGCTGAACTTCATTTCAGTTTGGCTGCAGTAATTAATTGGCTGCAGTAACTAATCAGCTACAGCTACCTGCCGTACCTGGCCTGCTCTACATACGTGGTGTTGGAATGGGGAGAAACACTTCCCAGTCTGTTTTTAAGCACAGCTAAGAAAACCTCTCTCCCCCTCCCCAGACAGGTCACTTAATATAGTAACAAAAACAAGCAGAACCCAGACTGGACTCCTAGCAAGCACACTGTCAAGTCTTCACTACATACACTGATGGTGCCTTTCATTTTAACCAGAAGGACTTCGCCTATTGTTTGGTTCTAAGGGACTTTGCACGTTCACAATTACTCGAGCTACTCTTGTCAAACTACATTTTAATTTAATAAACAGAACAAATTAAGCACGAGTTGAAATGCTGAACAACTCATTGTCCCCTTGAGGCCCACATCACATACTATATTTATATTTGTCTGTGCAGTGGAAGGACAAGCACAGACTTGTTTGTGATCTTCAAGTCCAGCACTTCAGTAGCTGCTATATTCTGCTACGCTATTTTCCTCGTCAACACTTTCTGAACACTAAAATCTTTTTGAAAAAGAAATTAAAAACAAATGAAAACAACTAAAAATATCCATCCACTGTATGCAAGTGCGTAGGAGAAAAGAGGAAAAAAAAAACAGAAAACAATACAGAAGGGTGCTTATCTAGGTGTGCTAAATCCTTAAGGAAGGAAATGAGGACTTGGACATGCCAACTGGTCAGCACACACAGCTGGCAGGGCAGGGAGACAGGGGAGGAAGAGGAGGAAAAGCAGAAAAGAGGAAGCTCTCTTCTGCACGTTGCACCCAGCTATGTTAGCAACAGAGCACTGCCATTTTCAGAAGCCTCCCACACTCGTGCACTACTTGCTCCTCATCAGCACACGGCAGCTACTGACCAGGACAACAGGCTCCAGACTGCAGTGCAGAAAGGGCGGCTTTCTGCTCTGAGTGCAGCATGCACGATGCCCTGGCACTGCTCAAACAACTGCAGCCACACTGAAGCATGAACTCACACGGGACTTGAGCTCCAAATGAAAGCTGTTTGACAGTTATACAAAAACAGGTAAACACATGGAAATCCTAGAAGTCATGAAGGATGTGAAAACATTTAGGGGAAAAAAAAAAAAAAAAAAAAAAGGTTTTATTACAGAAATGACCTGATGTTAAATACTGCATTTCTGCACACAAACCACTGCACACAGCGGAGCCGATGCTGTCTGGAAGAGGCAGAGAAGTGCCAATATGGTGCAAGGCTGCCAGGTAGCCAGGGAGGAAAGGTCACCATCCTGCAGGGAACGCCAGAGAAGCACCCAGGAGACGGGGCTGCAAGGTGCTGGCACAGCCTGCTGGCACCGGGCGCCCAGCAAGACCCTCACGCAGTGCTCTGCATTCCTTTGTGCCCAACGCAGGCAGGCTATTCACTGAGTGTACCTGAATGCAAGAAGCAATCTGCATTTAAAACGCTAATGTATACTCTCTTTTCTTGAAAAGAAAACCCAGAATAAAAGGGGACGTTTTGCTAAGTAGCCATTTTGTCTTCAACTTGGACATGATACCTAATCTGAATGCAACGTAAACATGCTCCTGAGGCTCGCCTCCAAACAGCACATTCATGGAGAGAGAAGAAAATCCAGAAAGGATGTCACAAAACAGCTTAATAAATTAGGACACCGTGAAGATGCAATGATCCAAACAGACAGGAAATTCTGCAGTTTGGAGCTCTTCTCTAGGTCACGTTGTAGAACAAAAACAACCACCAAAACAAAAGGTAGCAAGTGCTGGTTAAGGACAATGAATTATTATTTACCATTTCAACTCTAAGAAAAACAGCCAAACGAAAGATTTCAATTTCACTATGCATCCAGACGTAGGGTATGTGTATGTATACAAATACAGCAAAATCGCTCACACAAAAAAAAGATATTTGGACTTGCCTTCTTCGACAGCCACACCAATTCAGAACAAAAAGCTAAACACGGTACGAAGCAATGTAGTGGATCAATGTCTTTTAGTAGGATGAATCCATGTACAGAAACACATATAAGAAAAGCATTACCTAGGAAGAGTAAACTCTATTTCCCATTCTCCACTTCCTGGCCCTACATCACTCCCTTCAACCAGAAACGGCCTTTAAAAACATAGAAACGTAAATTCTGCAGGTGGTACCTCCTGCAGCTGGGGGGTGGGGAGGGCACGCCAAAATACTTTATTCGCACAGCAAGCAGAACTCGATTCATCACATCCCCCCAGACACACGGAATTCAGTATAATGTCGTTTTGCTATAAATTTTGATTAAATTTAAAGAGGGGGGAAAAAAAAGCAACACGGATTCCTGGATAGATACTTGCAAACCATCACAAGTTTGAGCCAGAGCTGCATTCGCACGCCTGCCCAGGAACTGTGGGGAGGCTGCGAAACGCACCTGTGTGCAGCGTTCCGGGCTCCTTCATCGCCGTGCTGGGGGCTGCTCTCTCACCAGGAAGCAGCGGCAGCCCGTGGCGCACGCCGCCCGCTTACAAAGCCTCCAGCAGGTGAGAGGAGACCCGGCAGGTTAAACGGCGCCGCAGCGCAATTGCCATCACCGCGGGACACAAACGCGCTGACCGAGCCCCGTTACTCCGGGAAGACACGGCGCCCTGCTCGCACCGCCGCGGCCCGGCACACCTGCGCGTACCGCGCGCGCTCCCGACGGCGCCGTGCCCGCGCGCCCCGGGGCGCCGCTCAGCAGGGTGGGCCCGGCGGCTCCGCGCGCCCCGGCACAAAGGGGCCGCGCCCCCCCCGCTGCTGCCGCCGCCCGCCCGGCCCGCGGCCCGGCCCTTACCAGATGGAGCTACGGATCTTGTGCCGCAGCGCGCTGGCCTCGCCGCCCTGCAGCCCCGGCACCAGGGCCGGCAGGGCCCCGGCGGGCGCGGGGGTGCCGGTGAGCCGCCGCGGCGGCTGCCCCTCCGCCTGCTGCTCCTCGGCCATGGGGGCGCGGCGACGGCGCGGGGACGCGGAGCGGGCTGGCCGCACTAGGCCTCTGCCGCAGCCCTCGAGTGAGTCGCCTTCCCTCGCCGCCCGGGGGACATCACGGGCGGGGAGCCGCGCCGCGCCCCGCCGCTACGCCGCAGGATGGCGAGCCCGGCCCTCGGCACGGCGCATGGCGGCCCAGTCCTCCTCCGCCGCCCCGGCGCAGGGTCGCTCCGCCGTCGTCCCGCTTCGCAGCACCTGGCCTGGCCCGGCCCGCCCCGCGCCGCCGCCGCTCCTCGCCCCGCGGCCGCCGTGCCCGCCCGGGCGCCCAGTGCGCAGGCTCGGCGCTGCCCGAGCAGGCGGGCCGCCCCGCCGGGAGGGGGCTGGGGCCGGGGCCGGGCCGGGGCGGGGGCGCGGCCGCGGAGGGACGGGAGCGGCTTCCCCCTGCGGTGGCCCTGGGCCGGCCTCGGGGTGCCGGGCGCGGGCGGACTGCGTGTGCGTGTGCGTGCACCGATGCGCGGCTGTGCGGAGCCGGGCGTGAGAGGCACGGGCAGCGCCGAGCACGGAGCTGTCGCTGCGGACACGTGAGCCCCTCCCGCGGCGCGCGGCATTACATCAGCCGCCCGCCCCGCACCTCTCGCCCTCCGGGTGCTGCGCACAGCCGCCCATCCTCCCGCACCTGGCGGTGTTTGTAAACAGCGCACGGAAACGCCGTTAACGCGCACGTAGCCCTCACTGCTTCCCAAAGAAGCCGTCGCCGAAGCGGAGGGGCCGCCCCTCGCCCCGGCCTGCTCGCCTCCCGCAGCTCCCGCGAGCACCAGAAGCCGCTCCGCTGCTCCTCTGTTCCCAATCCCTCCAATTCCAGTAGCATTCGAGCAGGAACTCGCCATTTTCCATCTGATTTATACCAGCACCAAACAATCACCTCCCAAATGGCCCTAGATGTGCCTCTCTCTCCTTCCCCCAATGTTTTCATGCAACACGAGCCCCAAAAGCAGCAGTCTTTCATCTAGCGGTGCCATCCCTGTGCCCTCCTGCAGCACAGGGCACCCAGCCCGGTCTCCCCGGTCAGTGCTGAGCTGGGTGCAGTGGAACCCCTCTTAGCCTGGGCAGAGGGACGGGCGCCTCAGCACCTTCTCACACTGTACCTGAGGATAAGCGGGGTGCCTTCCTGGCCTGCAGTGATCCCTGATAATGTGGGCCTTACATACTATTGATAAAGTAAATACACATGGTGTTGCTAAATGAAGGAGATGAGCATTTGTAAATGTCTGTTACCAAACAAAACAAGAGTTTTTTGAAATTAAATCTTCCCTTACATTTCTGCTTCCCTAAAGTCAAAACATTAATGGATATGGCAGTGACGGGGATTTTCTTCTCCTCATAAAACCTCTAGTCAGAATCACAAAAATGATGTTCTCTCTTGTTCCTTCTTCTTACTAAAAACTTTACTTTGATTGGAAATTCCTGAAGAATATCCAAGAAGTGAGTATAACCACAAGTAAAAATTGTAATCAGAAGTGAACATAAAGGCTAGCAACTTCAATATACTTTTTGATCAGCACACATGTAACCTTGTACAGTATGACCGAGCTGATCCTGGTAGTATTTCCTAGCTTTGTTTGTCAGCTGCTTCTGCTGAGATCCGTGGTTTGACCCTTTGAAATCTGAGGGAGAGCTTACCCCACTTGGATCCCAGGCCTAAAAATGTTCTCCCTCACTGAAACTGATGGGCCTGCATATCAGAGTAAGGTTCAACAGATGTGCATCATGTTTGGAAGGACCACAGACTATTACAATATATTGGAAAAATATATATAATTTTAACATAGCATTCAGTCAAAACCAGCAGCTGGAAGACAAACTTATTATTTAGTTCCTTGTTAATTTCCAGCAATGTCAAATTGTAGTCATACTTATTTATAGGTGTATCGGCATCATATGACCAAAAAAGAAATTAGTCACATCTGTTCTGCAAAACCTGCTGCACTGGGCACACGCTGGCACCCTCACACCACCACTGCCACCCTGCAACCACACCTGGTGCTTTAGGGCAGAATGGGATTAAATTGGCACTGAGATGAGTTAAGTGGGACAGAATCCCAGGTTGCATTGTTGTGGTGGAAGTGGACTCCAGGCCTCAAACCTATGTGTGCACTTCCATATCTCACCACCAATTTACCTTTTTTTACTTTTTTTTTTTACTTTTTTTCCTGTGCTCCTGTGGTGTGAAGCCTTTCAACTGCAAGCCGGTTTCTGTTGCTGGGTCACTAGCTGTGATGGGAACATACAGAGGCCCAAAATAAAATTGGGGTCTCCTAATGACTGATTTGGCCAGTAGGTGTTATTGCTGCAAAAGTTTTAAAGAGCAAAATCCAGAGAAGTCTGTTATGGAATCAAATAGCAACAACACAAAAGGCCACACTGTTTTCCAAAAGCCTTTTTTTTTTTATGTTAGAAATAACTCCAGTGCTTTTCTCATATTCCCATTCTCACTATGTCCAAGCACAAGGTTTGGCCCAGGTTTTTTGTATAGCTGCACTGACACCGAGTGAGGGCTCTTCCCCTTTACGTATGTTAGGCCAATACACGGAAGCCAGCTTAGCTGACTCTTACACAACCAGTGGAACTAGCTTCGAATTTCATATGGTCTCTGCAAAATGCATGAAAGAAAAAATGGCAGCTCCTTATGTGCAGTTTGCATGGTTATATAAACTAAAAAAAAAAAAAAGGAAGAAATAGATCCAGAATAATTGTTCAAACAGAGGAGCTTGTGCTGACAGAATTATCTTGAAGACGGTGAGGAGGACCATTTAACTGCTAAGAGAAAAACCTGAACTCCAATGAGCTGACAAAACACTGAAGACCTTCCAGGAATATCCACCAAAGACCGCTGTAACCCTCTTTTGGAGTCCTTGTGCTTTTGAATGCCTTTGCTGGACATGTAGATTGAGGCTTCTGGTCAGCATGGTATAAAAAGGTTAATTGTAGATCCCACTACTATGAACAAAAGTACGTGCTTAAGTCTAAACATGCCAGAAGTCTGAGGCAGCATTTTCAGGACCAGAATCTTAATTTTCTTTCCCATTTTCCAAATGTCTATTTTTAAGGAGTGCAGCAGCTGAGCTCAGATGAGGTAGGCAAACGTCTTTCTGGTCTTGTGCCTCTGTTCCCAGGCATTCCCCTTCTGCAGACAGATTTTGCAGATTCCAAATCTGTTTATTTTTCCTCCATTTCTCTAGCTTCAGATCTAACATTAAGACTCTCTGTAGGGAAAAATTGTGCATAAATACAGAGTAACCTATTTTGCATTATTTTGTTTTGTTGGTTTTTTTTTTCTGCCCTGTTATTCATTGTATCTGACAGCTGGGGAATGCACTGTCTTATGCTGTCAAGGAGCAATGTCTTGCTGCCCTTTCCGAGCAGCCAATACGAAGGGTGGGTGCTCTTCCCTGTTTCCTGTCAGATGAGAGAGATCTGCCATCTTATTTCTAACATGGGCCAAGAAGAGATGTGCACATTCATTGACTAAGCTGAGGGTAATAGGCGGATAAACAATGAAATTCTGCTACCTTTATCCTCAAGGCAAGCATAAAACAAATTCTGTGAGGATAATTGACTTTAAAGCCTTGCTAAAAAAGACACTTTCCAAAAGCTTTAAACACTGGTTCAGTGAACTCCATCTTGATGCCTTCTTTGCAGCTCTTCTCCCCCGGGGATGTATGTCACCGTATCTCCTGAGCTATGCCCAAGACAACTCCCTCTGATTTTCTTTATTTTGTTACCTGTTCATATGCAGCTCTGGTAAAAAAGAAATGCGATAACTAGTCGTGCCCGTAACCAATTTTAATATATACTTCAGCTTGTATTTTTCAATCATTTAAAAAAAGAATCCGGTTTACCTAGAAGACCTTCAAACTCATGTCATGATAACTGACAGCAGAAATTGGGCTGTGTTCAAATGTGGCAGTGAAAAGGGGGCTATTTTAATTCTAAAAAAACAGGAAAACCTGCTTGATCAGGGCTTTGCTGAACTTTGCTGCTTCTGGAAGCAGCTTGTGTATAGTGAGTGTGAGCAGTGTGTGGTGAGCAGTATTGCAACCTGCCAAATAATGGGAAACACAAGGAAGTATGAAGCAGGCCCCACAGTCACAAGTCCATCTCCAGCAAAGGACAAGTATTAGCTACCACACTGACTCTGTTACAGAAATTGTTTTCCTGGAAACCATCCTTGCTGTCTCCAGTTCTTCTCTGCTTTGCTGTCCCTGTTGTCTTTTATACCTCTGCGAGGCAGTTTAAGGTGCTAACAAAATGGATATGCAGCCCTGACTCTGTGCAATTGCAGACGATCATCAGATGCACGATAGCGATGGCCTAGGCTCACATAGGCCTGGCTACAGCTTGCCCTGCTGGGGCAGACGAGGAGTGTGGCGTTATGCTGGGATAATACACAGATTGTTTACATTCTGGAAGTCACGATCGATCACCCAATTAAATTTCCAAGTTCATTCAGGTTCTTTGATGATATGGACAGTTTGAAACTTTTTGTTTCTATAATCTTCTTTGCAGTGCAATACATCTTAATAAAACACATCTCAGTGTAATTTCTGACAGGCTGCCGAGCTTGAAAAAATTGTGAGTATGGTGTTTCTATAACCTGCATAGCTGTATTCAACCACTGCAGACTAAGAAAGCTACTTAAAAGGGGACAGTGGGTCATGAAAGTAATGACTCAGACTGTCTTGTTCAAGGCTGATGAGTAGGAAGGAAGGCATTGAAAGGAGTTTGATGCTTAGCTGAGTCATGTTTCAAACTGACATCCTTTCATTTTCAGTGTTACTGAATATTTGATAACCTTGCTGGTAGAAGTTAGGGTTAAAAATATTTTTAGTTAGACTACTCTGCAGTTGCTTTGTCTTTCACTTGTCTTTCATTCTGACTCAGAGGCTCAGTTTTAGGGAGACTGACAGAATCAAAGGTAAGGAGAGAGAAATACATGCAAGTTTCATATAACAAAGCAAGCAGCACAACACTTCTGTCCTTATTTTTTTTTTATCTTCAGTAGTAATCTGAAAATTCAAAAGTAATTGTTGCCTACCTGCAATGTCTGACTACAAGGACCAGGACAACTCCTGTTTGCAGGGACCCCTCCTGTGAATTGCATTGTCACATGCATTGGTGGCCACTGGCAGATAATTGTGACCCAGTTAAGGTCACTGCATAACATGGTAATGCAGATGTGACAGAGGAAGGGAAAGCACCAAATTCCCAGACTCAGAGCCAAGTAGAACAGACCCCAGTACAAGAAACTCTGAGTTTCAGTTGTGTTGGTTCAAGAGCTGCATTCCCATATGAACAGTGGATGTCCTAAATTGGTGCCTGAAGGAATCCTCGAGGATTTCCAAGCACCCTGAGAAATTTGTTTGCATTTTCTCCTGTATGTAAATGGAGAAGACAATGATCCAGTGATACAGAAGCACTTTAAACTATAGCAGATGCCCTTTGATTCCCCATCTTGCAAGCACAATGTGTTTGTCAAACACCAGTTTGGGGACACAATTATTAGTTTTTTTTCCTCACAGAAGTTGTCCCCAAAAATGGAGGGAAAAGAAAACACTGCTTGCACATTATGCCTGCAAAGCAGACAGGTAGCCTCACACCCCAATACAATGCTATAGTCTCATGTTTTGTCTTATCTGTTTCTTCTTTAAGCTGCCTGTCCTTGACAAGACAGTAGTGTACAGGCCAAGATCAAAGCAGTCATGTCGCATCACTACTAGCTCATGTCTCTGGTTTAATACTTCTGTTCTTTCTGGTCAAAACTTTAATCCTCCTCCTGCTCATCTACTGGCACATAACTCCACCCTCTCCAAGGACCATGTCTGTTCATGCAAGTGCTCCAAGCTGTCAGGATGCTCTCTTCCACGCAATCTTTAGCCTGAAAGTCTGTTTCAAGTGACTCTCCATAGCATTCCTGCCTGCAGACACTGCACCGTCAGCATCGATGGCAGCAGTGCCTGTGACCACGAGCAGTGCTATTGGTGCCTGATCAGGATGCAGCAGGAAACGTCTGGCCTCCACAACCATCTGCTAAAACCAGGCCTCCCCTGGCAGGAGTCCAACACAAAGTGAACAGAGTTTCACAGCCAGATTTCAAACTACAAAATAACTGAGAAATATGGCTCTCTGCTCCTAGTTTTCAAATTCAAGACATGGAGGCCTCTAGAATCAAAAATCTTTTGTGGATTCTAGGACCTTTTGGTTTCCAAATGGATTCATCACATTAGGGAGAAAGTGCTCTGATATAGTTATTTTAATTAGCTAATTAGTTTAGTTTAAGCATTTGCTAATTTTTAAGATGGTTTCTTTTCCAAAATCAGTGATGGAGAAAAATTAAATTGTCAAACTGGAGACCTCAGCTTGCAATACGTGTTCTGGAAACTATGTACAGAGATAGAATAGTTCTGAACATTGATATTGTAGGATATTTTTCATGGTATAAGAGAGAGAAAAGGACTCAATGAAGTGTGAATGATTTTTTAAAAGAACAGATTGCCATGTCTTTTAAAATAGGTCAAGTTTTTGGCCTAGTTTTTCAGGGTGTCCCTTAAAGCAACAAGGTTTAATATTAAAAACAAATAGCACCATTATGTTTTTGTTTCTAGCCACATCTACATATGTATGTTTTAGGGCAGAAATGTTCCAGTGTAAGAATAGAATGGCAAAGACGATCTCAAGCAACATTTCTGAGCAAGTGACACTCAACAGTAAAATCTCACTGGTGGCCACACTTCATCCTTAATGTGAAATGTTAATCTGAAACAAGCAGCTAAGGAAAAACAAACTGTAAATAAAGGAGATTGCCAATGAAGCCAACACCTGTAGACCCAACGCCTGTCAAATTTTGCTCCCCTAAGTCCCTGGAAATTTAGCGGCATTGTTTGCTTTCCATTTTGAAGCTGATTAATTCAATTGATTAATTTGATTTAAGTAGAAACAGAAATACAACAATGACATTCAGATTGAAGGTACACAAGATAGTACTTGAACAAACTTACTGAAAGGAGATAAAATACAACTGTCAAAGCAAAAAGAATCTGTATGTATGTATTTAGATTCTAAAAATGGACATTCGAGATATTTTAAACAGTGAGAAATTCCGCCTGCAGTGTTAATTAATATAGAATAAATACAATTTGTCTTCTGTGTAAGTGCAGTCTGGTACATATGCTTACAGACACACCTTTGTTCTGAGAACATAGGTATAATGCATGCATATATAATGATGTTACAAAGACTTAATTATTCAACATAATACAGCAGTAATTGAAGTTAACCTTAGTGCATCTGTACGGATTGAGGCAAGGCATGACTAGGACTTCCTCCATCCCAGAGCGCTAGAAAAAGACCAGGTACAAATCAAGAGTGGTTATGCTTGGAGAGTACACAGACAAGGCTTGTCTCTCTACCTACACTCCCCTGAGGCAGAGACGGCAGCTTGGTGGATCTTTATTAAAATATATATTTTTTTCCCTACTAAGATGATCCATAAGGGATAGTGCCCTTCAGGCACAACCCTTCAAGAATGTACCTTCTTGTGGTAAAACTCTGCATTGACCCAATGCACAGTAATAAATATCAGTTGGCTCACAATTTTATACAATAAAGACACTGAATAGCTTGTCAGTGCATGCTTCAGGAAAGAAGTACAACCTGGAACAACAGGGTCTTGGAATACACTTGGAATACAAATCTTCCGCAAGTTGTGGACTTCATTATGAAAACTGTTCATGAATCTAATTGATCTGTGACCGAAGACAATGCAAAAGCATCTCTAGCATCTATTATGCTATTTCTTTGTGTCCTATTATGTAACAAGATAGTTATGAGAAAACCTTTGTTTTAACAATTAACGCTATTTTGCATTAAGATTTGTAATTGTAACTACCATCACAGACTAGAACCTTTATTTTTTACCTGGTCCTACTCCACACCCTCTGCTGATGGACCAGAATGAACTGGTACATGTGTGGCTTTGTGTGTACAGTTAATGACACACTAAGGCAAGAAGAAGAAGGAGAAAGAGGATCTTCCCTCACAAGAAGGAGAAAGAGGATCTTTCTCTTTACAAAATACCACAGAGTGCAGGAAAACTCATTCAGAGAGCTCCCAGGGATACTGATTTGTGAACAGCTCTTTTTCACATATTAACTCCCACTACTTCCTGTACAACAAGAATACTGTGCACACAGATCTGTTTTCAGTTTTCTCACTGGTGGTTTCTCCCAATACTACTCATATATCAAGATCACTTTCACTTCATAACAGTTCACAAATTCTTCCAATAGTAATCCTGTTGTGTTTCTTTGTCTGCTATAGTCTAAATAATTAACAGAGATGCCAGGCAGATGTTAAGTAGCAGTAAAATGTTACTATCTCTGTAATTCCTCGTACAGTAGCTGACAAAGTCTTATTTTGCAAAGAATCCTACTGAAAGGTCATTCTCAGTATGAATATGTGATTGCATAATTACTCAGTAAGGACCTGGGGACTAAATCTCATTCATTTTATAATCTGAGTCAAGTTGGAAAAAAAAAATCACATTGTCTATTTGAATTGAACATGTTTATAATGTTCACAGGGAGTTCTCCTCCCCTGCACAGTGCTCAGTGGAGCAGGTACAATACTTTTTATTATCACAATGAAATGTATGAAAGGAAAGATTGATTAATTTTCTTTGTTTATGACACTATACATAGATCCAAATTCTTAATACTTCCCCTTACCTTTGTAGGAAATTTGCAGTGTGTGATCTTGAACACAGTATCATGTCCAGGTTTCATGTGGAAAACAGCAGCTCTGTGTAGAATACCTGTTATAGGGAACATACAGAATAATTACATTGTGTGCTGATGTAAAGTGACTGGCTCATCTGTCTGAAGGACAGGATTTTACTCTGTTGGATTGAAGCAACTTCTGTGAGATTGGAGCCAAGAATATTTGAAAAGAAAATGTTGCTCACAATCTATCTCGCTGAAATCCTATACTTATCTCATCCAGGCAATAGGTTTAGCTAAGAGCCAAAATCTAGCTGTATGGAAAGGTAGTGCTGAGATGAGGATAAAGCTTTTTAAGGGAATTCAGTCCCTGGGCAGCTAACTGCATGGGAATTGTGGTGGATGGGGAGTGGTGGGTTCCCACGTCAGATGAGCATGGCAGTGAATGAGTCAGCATTGGTGTCTGTAGTCTTCTTTGTACCCACAGCGATCTTTGTGGTCTTAACCAACATGTTTGGGTTGGATCCTCAATACAGCAAAGAAGTCTACAGCAAATCAGTTCAGATAGTAGAAAAATTGCATCCTTTTTCAAGATGCTTTGTCAACATCTTAACAGTTTATTGCCAAAACTTCTAATTAGTTTAACAGTTACAATATCACAGCTCTTACAAATCAACACCACATACAGCCAAGAAACAGCTGTTCTCATACTCACAGGCATCTAACATTTATCTAACAATTCAAAAGAAAAACAGAATAAAGTATTAACATCAATATGAGAAAGGAATTCATGTCCTCTGTTATTTTAAAGCGAACTCAAGAAATGTCTGATATATTTAAATAGTTTTTTAATAAATTTTATGTGTGAAAATATGGAAATTCAGATAAAAGCTGCTAGTTTACAACTGATGTGATTTGGGCATGGGAGCAAATGTGGCTATTAAGATGAATAAAATCCTGGACTTCACTGTTTGGGATAGCTCTCTGAGGTTCTCAGCTTTCTGTTTTCAGTTTTAGTGTGAATATGCTATATTGGAGCAGTTCAGTTTACAAACCAGCGCCCTTCAGGCCTGGGTTTTTTATATAAGAATAACATAAATAAACAAATAGGTCACCTTGCTAACTTGATTTTCCTGTGGCAGATCACTTTCTTCCCTTCAGGAAGCAAAGAATATGTCTCTTTCAGTGTCACGAAGATAGAAAGTAGTGAAAGCTTTCCCTGTGCTCATCATTTTTACTTCAACCTGCAGAACAAGTTGATTACACTGTGTCAAGTAAAATTTCCTGTGTTAGGAGGATATTTTAGTTTTATATATATATATATATTTTTGTTAGGTTTCATTTTGTTCCCCTTTCAGGTTTTTAAGAAGTCCTCCCCTGAATTCTGGCAGAACCCAAGCTCAAGATTCCAACTGTCTAAGCCAAGTTTAAGAATACTGCTATTTACATGGTGCAGTAAGGGCCAGTTAGCCAAGTCTGGTATCAGTCCAGGAGTAATCCTTTCCACAGATACAGGCTGTGTTCTGTCCACGGTCAGGAGGTAGGTTGGACAGAAGTAATGTGGAGTCCTTTTATTAACACAGCAGGCACCCTACTTAGAGCTGTGCCTATTTAGGCTTCTAAAAACAGTTTGCACTGAACGTGCCCTCTGGTTTCCTGGCAGGGCTACTCCCATACCAGTAACTTGATACATGCACTCATGGTCACCATAACACCAGCCAAGCACATGGAAATAAGACCATCTTTAGAAAATACCTCAATGGGTTAAAACAGTAGGGCACAGCTACCAAAGCCATGTTTGAGATTCCTCATCCTGCAAGGCAGAGAGAAGGGCTTGGTACTTTCTGGTTGTTGGCAGCTCAAAGAGGAAAAGGATGATTGTGCAAATGGCAACTTCTTGCATAGAAAGTCTTTCCAGAATTAAACAATTGAGAAGTTTGACTTCGAGTTGCCTTTTCCTTCTGGCACTGAGGTGGAGGAGGGAGCAGGAAGGTATCAGCTCTCCTAATGGTTTGCAGAGTGATTAACTACATGCTGCAGGCCCAAATTCAGCCCTATTCATACTGCTGCACCTTATAGGGTATGATACAGCGTTACAACCATCTTTGAGGACAAACATTGTCATGGCAAGGATACAGAAATTTATTACTAGCAATCTAATTGCTGAAAGGGAAACAACTTTTTACACATAAATGCCTGGTAAATAGTTAGAAAATATGATGTTTTAAATTTTATCCACAGCACATTTAATCTCAGATTACATATGCAGACATGGAAAGTACTGGCATGACATTTAAACATACCAAACCTGTCCCATTGTAAGATTTTTTGTTGCTATTATTTTTTTTTAATTTTGACTAATTCTTGTATAGAAAGATCTATGATCATAGTACATGGTCATTTCTTGGCCATGTGAAAATATTACTTTACTTTTCAAACTTTCTCCCTTCATTTCTGAAAGCATAGGCAAGTTAAAAAATAATCATAGCTTAGTCATAAAATCAGTATGTCAATATTTACTTGGCGCTCCTTCATGTCTTGGTCTTTCTTTGCTATTCTGATGCTTCAACTAAGTCCAGTATGCGTCATCAGGCCCTGGATCTAATAACTTGGGAAGATGATATTTTAAGATGCATTTGCATTAGCAAGCGAAAATCCAAATGGTGTGTGGAAAAGTGTGCTGAGCATGATGCAAAATAATTGCCAAAAGAGGAATTGAGATATAATAAGGTGGAAAAAAAGCACAATGTGCAACAGTGAGAAGGCCTGCGGGTGCATTTGCAGGTTCCTCATGCAGATGGTAAAATTTAATTTTTTTTACATTTCTTTACAAATAAAGATGCAGTTATGACATAATTGATTCAAATCTATTTTTAAATCCGTTCCTCTGAGTTTCTGACAGCAGCTTTTAGAGGTCTAAGGAAAATCTTTTAAGAAAAGAATTCAGGCTTCAAAACTCCCGACCACTGCTTCAACCAGGGCAACAGCTGGTGTCCTGGGCACTGTCTGGAAGAAAGAGCAGTTTAAGAGCTATCGGATTGCTTTTCCATCTCGCTGGTTTTACAGTTTCATAGTTGTGACTTACTGGGGATCTAACTTGGATATTGATAGATATTTCAGTGTAAATATCATTTATCTCCCTAGAAGTGGGGGCTTTCTTTTCAGTGCAATAGGAGAAGGCCCCCTGCTTTACCAGGGCAGCAGATGGGCAAAGTGAGTGAACACTCTGTTAGTTTCTTTTTCAATGCTCGTACGTAAGCACTGCTGCATCTGAAACCCAATTACTATAGCATTTAGTGCAAAGAATAAATCACAGCAAGTATGAAACTGAAAGTACTGCTACATATATACACTGTGTTTCTTTCAGAGCATTTCCACCCAAAAGTGTGACTGTTAGATGTAAAACAGACTCTCATTCATGCTTTAGATTTCTTTTTTTTTCCAGTTTTGTCAAATCTACAGTTTGGAGACTACAAAATAAGTTTTATATCCCAAACAGCTTTATCACAAATGATGATATGAGAATGCTACCTTAGTCTTTGTGTTCAAGTTGTCTTTTAATGTTGGTAGTGTTTTCTTGGGGCTGGCAATACTGCATGGTCAGAGAATGCACTTGAAACACAGCACAATGGTTTTAGGGGAGCATACCTGAATTCCCCCAGTGAACTGGCATCTGAGTCCTTGTCTGGGGAGCAACAATATGACACAAAGCATCACACAAGTGGTTCCAAATCGTCTGCTTTTTTTTAAGTTCTCAGACGCTTGTGGAAAACAATCTTAGCATGATGTTATTGCCAAGCGTGCACAAGCCTCTTCCCAAAAGACTGGCTTGTGAGTTAATAATGTACTTTGTGCATTTGCAACACAATTGCTAGGCAGAGCACACTTTGTGTACTGCCCTGCTCTGCAGCTTGCCTCAGTTCAGGCACACTCATTCAAGCTGCTCTTCTAAAAGCTGCAGCTTTAAAATTTTCTCCACTGTTCATTTCCCTCCTAAAAATCTCCCACATAAGCATTCTTACTCCTGCAGTTTCACCAATGCTAGCAAGTGTGGGAGGGCTGGCATTTTTGGTACAAGCACATTTGGACTCTCACTACAATGTCTGCTCTGCTCCCCTGAATACATTTGCAATTAATCAGAGGGACCTACGACAAAGGGTGGTATACTGTGAAAGGTATCTACTGCATTAGGACTTAATATCCCCTCATTTCATGCAGATAGCGATGCTCTCCTCCCCCAAGCACTCTCGCTTTTTCTAGAAATTACTGAATGAGAAAAAGTTCTGTCAGAGGAAACTGAAAACAATAAAAGATCCCTGATCTGCTCATGAAAAGTGCTGTAAGAAAGCCAGGTTCTATACCATTATACTATATAATATAGAGTAGCAAATCGTTATTGAAATTGAAGCTGTTCATTTTCGAATAGATCATATGTGGAGATGAACACTGTTCAGATTATCCTCATTACTAGAGGGAAGGTACATTTTACATTGATTTTCACACAAACGCCGTATGATCTTACGTGGTACATATTCAAAGAGCTGGAATCCATTAAAACCATGCTCCAGCTGTGCAATCACTGTCCTCACAAAGATACATTTTTACATGTGGTTAATGCCAGGAAGAATCCACAACTTCAATTATGAGATCACCAAAATATGTTGTTTATTGCAGAGAAAAGCATTTGTAGCTTTTTGTTGTGTTTGTTTTTTTTTTTTAAGTATCCAGCCAACACCACACTACTAAAGCTAGATAATAGAAATCCTGGAGAAATTTGAGCTAAATCTGTCTGGATTATAGCTGTGGGATTATCTGAATGCTAAATTACTGTATATGTTTTACTCGTAAGCATAGCATAGACAGTAAGGGAAGATGGATGACTATGCAGATCGCAATAAAATCCATCCCCAGGAGACTTTTTAATACACGAGGTAAACAACCCCTCTCAATTTATCAAGCACTCTGGATTGAATTAATGCTGTCATTTACTTTGCTGTTGCTGTGTAGAGAAATACGGTTTAACTTAAACAGCTCCTTTCACAGCAGAAAAACAAAGGTTTTCCCTTTGCATCCTTCATAACACGTCATGCAGGAATATTAATTGGCTGCTGTGTTTGTGTAACTGAATTAAAGAAAACACAACTGTAGTTTACTGTGTAATCAGAAAACCAAATTATATGCAATATTTAGAAAAAAGATTAACTCCATCTGCCTTGTTAAACCTTCCCTTCCCCTCCCCCGTTGTTTACACACCAGAATTTCTGGCTTTCTAAGGACATACAGTGAGTGAACCTGGATTGACCTGACACATAGCATCTCAGAATTTCCCCTTGAGTGATTCACAGATGTGTGAGCTGCGACCAAAAAAAGCAAAGAGAAAAAATGCAGGGCACTGTACAGTCTGAGTGTATCTGCAAGAGGTGATACTGAGTGCGCCATGTCTGAGTCCCTCCTCTACTGCAAGTGCACAGCAATGGATTACAAACACATTCCTTTGGTAGCCAATTCAGCTCTGTTTGACAATTGCAAGTGAAATTACTTTCAGCTATAGTGGGGCAGGGGCTATTCTAATTCCTATTATTCTCCTGACATGTATTACTGCTTGCTGGTGCTTTCTTGACATTTTGAGTAGCTATGCCACATGTTTATGCACCACACAGTTATATGACACGTGAAGCAATCGGGCTGGCTTTCCTAGGGAAGCAGGCTAGACAGTTATTTCTGCTCCCTGTGAACAGATATCAGATGATATAGAAATGTTCACTTTCATTTCCTTCTTTCACAATCAAAGATGGTATGTGGCTTTGTAAACAGATTAAATACAATTTTAGATCCTGGGAAGCTGTCAATGTAATCCTTTGGTCAAAGTACAGACAAACAAACAAAAGAATCGACCTTAGCCAGAAAGCTCAGCTGCATCCAGCTTTTAAGATTTATAATTTTTAGCAGAAGACAGATTTAGAAAGAGCATCAAAATGTTTTGTTTTTTTTTTTACTAAGGAAAGACTGTTATGAATATATGCCCTTGAAATTTGAACATGATAGCTGGTATTCTCAAACTGTGCATATAAGGTAGCAGATTTGGGTTGTCAGACCCTTTGATGTTTGATAAAGAAAAGTGGGCTCTGTTCTTCATCTTTTCTCCCTCAACCAAATAAGTCGTTTCCTACAATTTCTGCTGCTTCTTGCACTTCCACCTGCTTTTGTGGTGAACGTCTGAGAACTAGTTGACCTAGAACACTAA